TACAATTTCAACTACTTGAAATGACGTGACATGCTGCCCATTTTAGAATAAATTCGACTCAACGTCTTTTTTGGAACTAGAACAACATTCATTGTTGTAATCACATTGTTTAGTAGACTTAAATGCTTCGTGTTAGATACCTTAAATTTACTCCGAATTTATGGATTACCAAAAGTGCACAGCAAAGACATAACTCTTCGACGCATTCTCCATATGAACGATTCACCTGATCATCTCCCTGCACAATGGCTAGAAGACCTACTACAACCAGTCAGAAGGCGAATTTCCTGCCACTCACTCCGAGATTCTTTCGACTTTGTCAACTCCATTGAAGACGTCAATGTTTCCATTCAAACCATGTTCTCAATAGATGTGGTATCACTGTTTAGAAACGTCCCAATAAACGCAAGAATAGGCTGTTAATGTGAAATAGTGACTCACAGGAGATGAACGTTGGTATACACACTGAATGTTTGAAGGAACTCCTATTGAGATGCACCTTAAACGTTTAGTCCTCTTTCAGTAACGAAATGTATCGAAATAAAGATGGTATAGCTATGTGCTCATCAATTGGTCCGTTGCTCGCAGAATTTTTCATTTCGAAACTTGAAAACACGCATCTAAATTGAAGGACTGACAACTTTGGATTCGACAAGAGATCCGTGAACGACAATTTGATTACGAAAGATTACGAAAATTATTCACAGTCGTCGTAACTATAGTCCTAGAATTTCACATCTGGTCGCGTAGTTCGTGCCGTTTTCGGTTCCGAGTACTTTCATCTTGACGTACCTCTGTACTCCTCCTACTTTTAGTTTGTCTTCTATGCGTATACTACTAAAAATGAGTGAGCAGTAATCTAGGAGCGGGCGCACACAAACTTTGTACAGTAGTATTCTGGATTCACTTCTGTAGAAGTTCCTGAGTAGGAAACCAATAGGCCTGCGTGATTTCGATACTTGTTTCGAGATATGCTCTGAAAATGTTAGATTATGTGAATATTTCAGTCCTGGGTCTAGTAAGGATTTGAGTCTGATGATTTTGTTGCCTTGAATTGCTACATCAAGTTCTAGGTTGGAACAGCCTATGCAGAGCCAGCCACACGTTCCGACATTAGACTCGAGTCTCCAGGTTTCACACCACTTATCCATTTTTATCAATTCTTGTTGTATGAAGCTCATAGTTGTACCGATATCAGTATTTGTGCATGCATAGGTCACCTTTAAGTCATCTGCATACAATATTGGTTTACCTGTACTAAAGCATTTACAGATACTGTTTATGTATATAATGAAAAGAAGGGGGCCAATACACTCCCCTGGATGACACCACTGCTGATTGGTCTAGGTCTGGAGGTCATCGAGTGAACTTCTGTTGTCTGATTTCTGTCACAGAGAAATGATTTTATCCAGTTGTGGAGAGGGTTGCGTATCACTAGTGAGCATAGCCTGCTGACTAGCGGACTATGTGGAACTCTGTCGAAGGCTTTCCTAATATCGAAATAGAGGATAATAACTAGTTCTCTCCTATCTCTTCTATAGTTGACTTCGTTGAAAAGTCTATGTGGCAAGTGATGCAAGATCCTTTCTGGAGGAATCCGTGTTGTGACTGGCTGATGAGTTTATGTTTGAGAAAGTAGTCTGACATTTGGTCTTTGATTACTTTCTCCATGATCCGTGATATGACAGGTGTTATACTGATAGGCCTATAATTGCATGCACTAGTTTTGAACTCTGATTTATGCTTAGGTAACATATACCTGTTTTTCCGAATTTTACAGTAGCTCCTAGTCACTAGTGAGAGGGTAAATATTCTAAGCAGTAATACTGTTATATCCGTATCACCGTTTTTGTATATGACAGATGGTATATCATCTTTCTCACAACTACCGTTAGCTTTTAATGTCTTTACCGCTGATGCTATATTTGGTATATCAAAGTTGATTTCATCTAACTTGAAGTTATTTTCGCAAGTTATGTCAAGAATTGGCGATGGATGCGTTTTGATGTCATTAGAGAACCACTGGCTAGGGAGTTCACTAATAATCCGCGGATCATCTTAAATTATACCTTCATGTTCCAAGTGGCTAATATTGTTGTCTTCACTCCTCTTCAGTCGTTTATGCAAGATCTTGCAGAGTTCCTGAGTAAGCATTTTCATGAAAGATATTGATGTGTAGCATATTGTATGATTGAGACAGGCTCAAAGCAGTGCAATGTTACAACTACACTTATCGCAAAACATCTCGGAGCTTAACATGAAAAAGGAGATACGGTGGTGCATGATGGTGTTGGTCGCAAGTGTGAATCGCTCCTATGTGTGGGATAGCAACATGCATTTTCGGTAGCTCGAGAATTAAACATGAGTTTAGATCGTCAATGTAAAGATGACACCATGAAGAAAACAATAATGACTGCACAGATCCGAATTTCAAAAAAATGCTTTTGCTACTAACATCTACAAGCCTGCCCAGCTTCTTGTCAAGATGCTTCACTACGTGCCCCACACAAATACGCCAAACATCTTACAGGTCAGCAAATCCTACAGCTTCTAATCTTTGAAGCCACTCCTCTCTGAACTGTCTCTTATATACTTCGCGATAATCCTTCCATCTGATTAATATTATACTCTATCGTATCTCAACTACGTAGGCCTCTATAAACGTAAATCTTACTCTTTTTTCATAAAAGTCGCTCGCCTAATGTCTGGTTGCTCTGATGAAAGCAACAACAACGAAACCAATGTTTGAGAATAACTATATTTTCATCGAAGATCTCATATTCTCCATGGCAAGATCAGTATGGTTGGCATTATACATTGCAATGTATACTATCATTCCAAGTACTCTATAGCTCCTTCTTGTATATATATGTTTTGAAAATACTTTCCATGATGGATTATCCATAATTGCATTTTCTACCATTTTGCAGTTTTCCAGGACATTTTTCTCTTCCTAATATAGCGTTCAATCACGTAGGGACATAACACCTGCCCACACATACGTTTCTCATCGGTTGGCCATACCTATCAGCAGGCAACGGAACGAAGTTTGGATTGGAGCATAATCTTTAGGATGGCCTTAGTGAATAGTTTACAAGTTCCAATATCCGATATATCCAATATCACTTTTACGAGTTAGTATAAACCAATTCGATTTCTTTGTGCTACTCTCTTGATTGTGAGGTATAGGTTCCTGATTTTCGGTAAGCTTCTGCGTAGCTCGTCCCTCCACTTGACTTTCGTAGCTCTGGTTGACTCCTAAAGGAGTAGTGCTGGGATTAATTATATGTTGTTTGTTGTATGCGGTGTGTTGAGACTTTGTTACTACTTTGAATGGAGTTGATCCTTCCACCAGTTAGTCCCCGGTATCGTCGTCATAAGAAAAGAGATAATAATGATCGATAAAATGAGTGTAGCTTATTCTGACTAAAAGACAGAAAAAGAAATAAAGAAAACGTAAAACCAGACTGCTAATTAAATTCGAAGTTGATATATATAATCTCAGTAACAACAATAATAAGTGTAGTGGTTGGAGTTGTCAGGAGAGTGAGACGGGAGAGAATGTAAAGAAGTAAAACGGCGAATTTACTTGTCTACCCCCAATGGTGCATGGGACTTTAAGGAAACAGGCCATTTGGACGCAGTCCTTGTGTCGCTGCATGATTGTCCTGCCTTAACTCAAAGGTGTCTCAGATATTATATATGAATTAAAACACCAGACTAAATAGTATACACGAACGAGCGAAAAGCAATCGAAGAACAACCAAAAGACAGCGACATTTACATCGTAGTCAGCTATAACAGAATAGAACGCCAAAAATGGACGAAACGCGATCATCGATTTCGAAAATGACTTTCTTACAAGGATATTCTTTCAAATCACTGACCGATGGCTCGTGATACTGTAGCCGAATAGTGGTGTTTTTCAAACCTTTATTTTCGAAACACGGCAGAGTGCAAGTGAAGTGGGAAACTTAGTCCAACACAAGTAAACAGTATTCATAATTCAACAGGTAAAGTGAGCCCTACAAATCATAGGGAAAAATATAGTTCACACTTGGTTACTCGTACCATCATTCTGAGTTCATCAATCACGCATTAAACCTGAGTGTCGACAGCATACTGTGTTGTAGAAGCTCTAAAATTGCATATCACACTTTGACTTTGTATGTAGGAAGGGAAGGCAGTGCGATCGCCTGTTTCGAAACACTTGATTGACTTTAGGCAGTCAACTAATCCGACAATGGTTTTAAGGTTGCTCAACCAAAGGTGCAGATCTGTATGACATCCTAGTTCTACAACTACTCAAGACAACAGACACACAAACATTATTCGTGAAGCCAGCCGTTTGTGAACAACGGGATTTCGCACAATGCTCAAGGCACTGCTTTTGTTGTTAATATGCTACTCTACATCAGCCATACCAAATTAAATGTGCCTAATAACCTTTTCTGTTTCAGTACACTGCCTAACCTGTAATTACTGATACTAAAACACAAGACATAAAGACTCAATGAGCAGTATATGTGAATGCCACTGAGAGTTAGGAATATTTGCGTCAAAGATTTCGGAACTTATTTGGCTGGTTTGACTAAACTACAGGCTTTTGTAATGTAGGCGTTACAAGGACAACAGATGAGTGCGAAGTGGAGAAAGAGGCTACTCATATGTGTGCACGTTCAGTGAAAATATATGACACTTCATCAAGAACTCGTGGGCAGACTAGTAGTCAGCTTAGTTGAGACTAGGTTCATTCAGTTTCAGCGATTTATTCTATTCGAGTCCTAGTTCCATTTCGTTGTCATTGAAGGGATACTTTAATTTCATGAGTTCCATTGACTGTGGAATGAAAGCGACTGTTGAGACGAGGAAATATTGGCACTAGTTTATTCATTTTGTCAAGTTGACCTGTGTCGAAATTATTATTATTATTATTACAATTGGTGAAAGGTGGACGTGATGTCCATGCGGAGACGGATGATGACAGTGAGAAAACTCCATTGAAAAGTAAGATGTATTTTATTTGTTAGAGACTACATTACAAGAAGTGAGTACATCAAATGAAAAGCAAGTGGTACATTATCATCATCAATATGATTCCCATATTGATAGAGTAACAAAAGTTCAATACTACTCATCTTTGGCATCTCCAAGTATTTTGTAATCAGGAATGATGAACTTGGCTGGACACAAGATTTGAGACTCAATTTGCCCACGAAGTATTTTCTTATCTTTCACATACTCATCAGGTTTAAATTTCTCTAGATGGCTAGCGTATTCTGATGGACAGTTGACGAGTGATGATGCTTCATTGAAACAGAATACCAATTCGTGTAAGTAAACACTCCCAACCTACAGGATGCGAAATGGTGAACAAGAAAGACAATTGTGTTAATTAGGTAGTTGAAAAAGCGATGATTCGTCAATCGAAATGTGTCTTCAACATACACCTTCAGAGAAGTTCAAGATAGTTAAGGCGTGTATACTTTGAATGCTGGTAGGAGCTACTGACGTGAACTCTGGTTGTGGTTGGCTAAATCAAGAGATTCGCGAATCCGATGGAAACACACTCATTCAACAATCTGCACAGCATATGTTATTTATCACTAGATGTAATAGATCGCAATTAAAGTGACATGATGAAATATTTGAAAATATGAGTGCATAGGAAAGACATAACCCACCTTACTCCGTGCACAGATCAACTTGGGTTGTACACCGAATATTTTCAACAGTTTGTTTTCCACTTTTGCAGTCTACATGAACAGAGTGGATGAATGTTGATTGTGAATCAGTGTGATTATTCAATGTAGATTACTCTTAATTAGAATGAATTTGTCTGATGGACAAATTGAATGTCAACTTACCGAGTGAACCTTCTTCTGTAATAATCTATGGAGCTTTTTAACGTTTCTAAAATGAAGGGAAATGTGTGTTATTGGTCGAATGTGAAAGATCACATCAAGAAATGTGTTGGTGCGTCAGTATTGTCTCGATGTAGAATGCAGACACAGAAACTACTTGATACATTCCTCGCCCCAGTAGTTCCAGCAATGAATGTAATCTGTATCAAAACACCGTCTCATCTATCCTGATCCTGATATTACCATACTGTTTATAACTTCAACACAGTATGTCCCACGAATCACTGACTCCATCAGCATAAATCAACTTTCCTTGTCCAGTCCAGTCCGGTCCTGTCCCTAGTTAGATCAGTCCACAACTGACTGCAACATACAGTACACATGGTAATGAAGCTGAGTATGGACACTGTGATTTTCGAGTGTGAGATCACTGTGAGGATGCACACTTTGTGTCATGAGGAAAGGTAAAGGGATGTGAGCTGGCGTGAATGCAGCTTCACAATCCACACAATTAAATGATTACTATAACTCGAACAGTAATAATAATATTTAATAAACACATTTAGAAAGAAACATGTGTCGACGTACTTTGGCGTCATGAGTTTTTTGTAGAGATTAATGCTGTGATTGAGGTAGAGAGTTAAACTGGATCCAGATTCATCCATAACTGCACAAAATCCATAAGTATAGTAAACCCCGGAGCTGAAATATGAGATTATTTTGAGAAAAATAATCAGAATGCACGAGAATAGCTTCAGTATTGGGAAATCTTATCGCTGGTAGATTGTCAACACCACCACCATCAACAACGAAAACAACATCAAACAAACAGGCTGACACACACGCACACAAACATGGTGTTCATCGACACTTTCGTCAACCATCCACACATCCCCACACTAACTGATTTCACTTCTCCGGAAGTGGGATGTCGAAGTGTAGGTGTGTCGAAAAGGCAATAACAAATCCCTCAGATGAATCACTATAAGCGAACAATCGCCAACACACACACACGCACAGATTTGCTCTGATTACTGAAAAACCACAGTAAAGTTCATGATATGCATAGTTGTGTGAAAGACAATAGCAAAACTGAGAGGTGACTCACTGTGCAAAAGGTCCATGAGTTGGATTAGTCCAATAAGTATTCAGATCAGGTATTTTACTCTGAAGATGAAGAGGAAAGTCGAGAGAAAATTAAAGTGGAATGGTTAAATAGTGATCAGTGTGTGCTATGCCAGCTGCTCTTTCACAAGTCCCGTCAGTGGTGCAAGTTATGCAAGTGAATGACATGGTGAAATGTTGTTATGTGCGAAGAAGTAATATTTTGAAGACACCTGCATAAAATGTTCGATTTGTCACTCACAATATCCTCGTTGGAGAAATTTAGACGACTTGTGCATGCGAAATCAGTCCAGTTGAAGTGAGGTGATGTTCTGAAATTGTGAAATAACTCAGTATTACCATAAAAGATGTAGCAAATATTATTGATACACTGAAATCATCCTCGGGACAGAATCATCACTAGAGTCACACATCAATAAGCGAGCATATGTGAAAGTGTACTTCGAACAAGTGTCTACCTGAATAACATGATATCATGCTATAACATCTCCAACCAGTTATCTCAGCTTTGTCAGAGTTTACTTACGGAAAACTCTTCGACATCCGATCAATATATAAATTTTCTAATGTATACGAAGTGTGCCCTACCATATAGATAATTTGAGAGAATTGATTGTGATGATTTTTTTCGATGAACTTTACAGACCACCGTGTAATTATTCAGAAGCTTCATTGCAGTGCAGCCAGTCACATATCCACTCACATACATCTGTCTTCTTGTGACGGAGTGATTCATCTTGCATAAATCTGGCTGTCTGAATGATCCTACCAACTGTGCACATTGGTAAAGATCAAATGTGCATTATCATCATGAAACAGGTCGACTGGTGTCAACTGATTCATCTTATTAGTGCTGATGATTATCTTCTCAACTCTATCCATGTTCACACCCTTCAGTGAAGTACTGACATATTTAAGAGAATACATCCAACTCATTCATCGCATTTAGGGGACCACCACACCTCGGTGATGTCGGAGAATGTGTCAATGTACAAAAGACAAATACACAGTAATCTCACCTCAATCTCGAAATATCCATAGTTATATTCTTCGGGACAGTACACTGAAAAGCAAATTGAAATTTTTAATTGTCGATTGAAATTAATTTTACTGAAGAGTACTGTCGACGTCAATCTGATGTGTGTGTGTTTGTAATGATTGTACAACATGTGGTTATGTAGTTCGATATTGATTTGTCATGATACACCTCACTGACTGACGCTGATTGATGTTTCAGATATATGGTTATGGTTACAAAGAAGAAGTTGTGTATCAAGTAGCATTCAACGAGTAATACTCATTCACCAGGTGAATGGAATGGACGTGAAACATGCACATTGCAGGTTCCTTCCACATAGATCTATGTCTGAATTCAGATATATGTATGTGTGATGTTGGCTGGGGAACTCCAACCTCCCCTATCGATGAATGTACGCACTAACATTCATCGATTGAGCCTGATAGCTCACTGACACGAAAGCGTGTGACCGCGAATGTGTATGAATGCAAAGGGATATCAAGTGACTGAACAGGTTGGTTTTGTGATGTCTGTGACGCTAACAAACACTAGGATGACACGTCCACGTGAGGTTGGATATTCGATGAATCGAAATGATGAAATGATAATAATAATAATAACAATAGACATGATCACCGCAAAATTATGTGCATGAGTAAACGTACATATCTGTTGAGACAGTGTGTTGGAAGCCAACGTAAATGAAGCATGTATGTCTTGTCGACATTGGATTCAGCGAGTAATGTGTGGATACACACGAGAAGACTGAGAATGAAGAGTCTGTAAGGAAAGGAAGAGAATGAGAGAGACATGCACATTTTAATGCCTAATGCAACGCTCGGAATACAAACGAAACAATAACTCTGCATGTGCAGCAGCATAGAAGGAAGTGGTGCATGCCTCATTTATGAATACGAGAAATCACATTGATCATGGTAACTCACTGCATGATGTAGACGTTCAAATCTGAGAGAAAAATAAACAGTCACCATTGGGTATCGTAATGAGAATAAAATCATTGAGAGAAATTATTCCCGTGCAGACTGTTGCGATTCCTTGATGAATTCATGTTACATGGCTTTTCATGTGTGCATGTGAGTGGGTTCATATGCAAGTGGATTTATTGTAAAAATGTGGAATCTCCTTTGCCTCAGCTACTACAACAGACTGACTTGTACACAGTCAATGTTTCAGTGTGGCACATTATTGAGTATTTCATCAATTGTTCGAGTCTGTTGTGTGTGTGCTTTCAATGGATGTTTTGAGTTGAGTGCATATCACACATCATGTCCATGTAGAATTAACTGCGCTTACATTCATTGATCTGTGACCATATTGTGAGTGAGCGTCATAGGGAATGTCACATTTCAACAGTGTGTATTCTCATTGTCAACACACTTGATAGTGAAACAACCACACATGCATCTCACCGACTATCTCTGACCATCTAGGAGAATACAGTGAGGGACAAGTCTCCTTCCTCAAATAAGAAGACATTATATGATTGAATATCAGTGTCGTGTAGTTCACGTATAGAATAATGCATCATGATAACAGCAAATAGTATTGAAAACGTAGTGGACTTACCTATTCTCAGATGTGGTCTACCTGTCTGCCTCAAACGATGAGTTGTCTTTGTCAATATCCAGTCTATTTATACCTGATTCAGCTGAAGTCTCTCAAATACAATTGGTGTTTTACAAATTAATTAAGAATATGGACAATGAAGATAAGAAATAATGTGAAGTGCATTACATTTCAATGGAATGTGAGATGAGGTGAAGTGAAGTGAAAGTATGCGGTCAAGATGCTTTTGTTTATCATTCTATTTCAGAATATTGGCAAAATATTAATAATTTGCTTTATTCCAGAAACAGTACAAGTGGTACAGTGTGGTACTTTCAGCACATATCTACAATATTTGCATCTAATTTTACAAACATTTAAAAGGAGTATTAAACAAACAAACAAAAAATCTGAAGACACCAACAGCAAAATAAAACAGGATAAACACAAAATAATTATAAATGCGATAAAGTACCAAGAAGTAGAAAGGAAAATAAACATCATATAATGATAACTCAGTATTAGGTAGTGGAAGCTATGATATGATTATGCATGGTGACAGTAAAGCTATAGTCATACAAGAAGTTATGAAATGATATTTAAGAATGTTTATCGCCAAGATGATCAGTTAATTTGATTGAAACAACTCTAAACAGTCATAAAATAACATTTCAGGGTTGTTGTTTTGTTTTTATTGTCAGATCTAATGCAGTGTTTGTAGTGGTAGTGAGAGTAATCCTGAATAATACAAAATGTTTTCTTCAAGGTGGTCACTATGGCGTTCACAGCCAATGAATGCCAGTTTAATATTGCCGAAAAGTATAGAAAATAAGAAAAAACAACCACAAAACTAGCAATTACATGACGGTTAATGACAGGACAATTTTGTGATACTCATAGTGCTAATATAGTCGGAACCAGTGGATACACAATAGAAGGAATATAGTAAAGTACAAAAATGGAAGCCAATGTTAATAATTTAGGTAGCTAAGTATGTTTGAGAAGGAGTTCACTATAGAATACAAAATAAGAGAGAAATAAAAGAGCCTAAAATTATGTTGTTAACAACAAAGCAAGTCATTGGTTTCGCGCTTAACATTGTCTCTGTCACTTAGAACACGGAACAAGTATGGTATCGTTGAGTTCCTGTACTTGGTTGTACGAGCATAGATTATTTTATACTGATTTCTGGTTTTACTTGATGAGATACAAGGAGAGAGTTGGGAATAGAGGGGGTGTTGGGGGTCGGAGAGTATGGTTTTTGACCATTTGTCGCATGTATTCACATGTCTTTCAACTAATGTAGTGACGAGCTGACTGAGTTTTACACCACTAGTCCTACTGACTACCTTCAACATCCTTCTCAGGATGGTATAGTCCATTTTTAGTAGACCAGGAAAGACTAACGGGGAGCAGTAAAGTAGAATAGGTAACATACAAGAGTTGACAAATTGTGAAAGTAGAGGTTGGGTGATTCCAGATTGTCTAAGTTTCTTAATGTAGTAGGTAAGACAGAACACTTTCTTAGAAATCATTAGAATATGAGATGTCCAAGTAAGGTCGGAAGATAGAACTAGACCGAGGTATTTTGCATTAGACTTAGTTTCAATTTTAGTCCCTTCAATGCAATAGTCTTCATGAGAACTTACTAGTGTTTGTAGATCTCGTTTTTGCCTAAGGGATAAGTCAGCAGTCTGGCATTTTGAGGGATTCTGTATGAGACCATTTAGTTTGAACCACTCACTGATGTCCGACAGGAAGCTATCTAATTTGAGACAGTCTGACTGAGACTTAATGGGAAACGATACAGACAGGTCATCTGCATATTTGACGAAGTTGATTTCATCTGAGAGAGGTAAATCTCGTAAGAAGAAGGAGAAGAGAAACGGAGAAAGAACAGCACCCTGAGGAACTTCAGCTTCAGTAAGCAAAGGAGAGGAAGATACACCATTATATACCGTGTACTGCATCCTATTAGAGAAGTAAGAGTGTAGCCATTTGATATCCCAGGGCTCAGTTTGTGTAAGGCTAAGATTGTTTAACAATAGGCCTCTAGGTACAGAGTCGAAAGCAGATGTATAATCAAGGAACGTACAACGGACAAACTTGGCCCCTTTGTCTAAGGAGGATATAATGTTGTGATGAAACATAGCAGCAGCGTCCAAAGTACTTCTACCTTGTTTGTAAGCAAACTGCTTTGGATCGTTTGAGAAACTTAGGGAGGGAACAAGTCTTAGTAAAAATAATTTCTCCATTAGTTTCAAAAAAGGAGAGGTAATAGCGATAGGTCTAAACTTAGCATTATTGCCAGAGCCTGACTTGGGTACAGGGATGATTTTAATATCTTTCCACAGAGAAGGTACAACATTATTAGAAAAAGAAGTATTTAAAATGTTTGTAAGTGGGTTGCTTAATATATCAGCACATTTCCTTAGAACAATGGCAGGTATACCATCAG